GGGCATAGTTCCAAATTATTTCCCAGAATAGTTGGACCTATTCACAACTTCACTGACAGTTTATTAGTGCAACAATTCTCCCTTATTACTTCCAACATTTGTCATTTCTAATGGGTGTGAAATGGTACCTCAGAGTAATTTTAACTTGTATTTCTCTAATCAGTAGTGATTTAGAACATGTTTATATGATTATAGTTAGCTTTGATTTATTTTTTCTGAAAACTGTTTGTTCATATATTTTGACCACTTAACAATTTGGGAATGGCTCTTGTTTTTATAAATTTGACTCAGTTCCTTATACATTTGAGAAATGAGACTTACCAAAGAAAATTGCTTTAATTTTTAAAAATATTACTTCAATGTCTATGGTACCTCTTTGTGAAATGTAGTTTCCCTGTATCTTTTAATTAGGTCTATTTTTGCTTTTGCTTTGTCTGAGATCATGATGCTACCTCTGCTTTTTTTTTTTACTTCAGCTAAAGCATAATAGAGTCTACTCCAGCCCTTTATTCTAAATCTATGTTTGTCTTTCTGTTTCAAGTGTGTTTCTTGTAAACCACATATTGTTGGATTCTGGGTTCTTATTCATTTTGCTATTCACTTCCATTTTATGGTGAGCTCATCCTATTCATGCTCACAATTTTGTAATTGCTAATTTTGTATTTCCCTCTCTCCTATTTTCTTCTGTTTTTCATGCTTTCTCTTTTTATCCTGTCCTTCCTCAAAAGTCTGTTTTGCTTTGGTTACTGCCTTTCTTAATCCAACCTCCCTTTTATCATCTCTCTCCCACACACAAATCCCTTATCCCATTTCTCTTCTATTTCCCTATTGGGTTAAATAGATTTCTATACCCAACTGAGTGTGTATTCTTCCTTCTTTGAACCAATACAGATGAAAGTGAGGTTCAAGCATTGTCTACCACACCTTTTATTTCCCCATCCAATATAAAAAAATCTCCTTGTATTTCTCCCATTTATGAGAGAAAAATCTCCCACTCTATCTCTCCCTTCCCTCCTTTCCCAATTCCTCTTTCTCACCCCTTCTTTTTTTTCTGAGCTCATTCCATCATAATCCACTCACATTCATACCCTCTATCTATTGAGACTTTTAGTCCTAATAATGACAAAATTCTTAGGAGTTACATGTAGTAATATAAATAGTTTAATTGTATTGATTCCCTTATGATTACTTGTATATGTTTACCTTTTTATGCTTCTATTGAGTCTTGTGTTTGAATATCAAATTTTCTATTAAATTCTGATCTTTTCATCAAGAATCCTTGAAAGTCCTCTATTTCATTAAATATCCTTTTTTTCCCACTGAAGGACTGTACTCAGTTTTGCTGGGTACATTAGTCTTGTTTATAATTCTAGCTGCTATGCCTTCTGGAATATCAAATTCTAAGCCCTCTGCTCCTTTAACATGGAAACCACTAAATTTTGTGTGATTCTGTCTGTGACTCTATGACATTTGAATTATTTCTTTCTTGCTGCTAGCAGTATTTTCTCCTTGACGTGGGAACTCTAGAATTTGGCTGTAATATTCCCAGGAGTTTTCATTTTGGGGTCTCAGGAGGTGATTGATGGATTGTTTCAATTTCTATTTCATCCTCTGCATGTAAGATATTGGGGAAGGTTTCATTTATAATTTCTTGAAATATGATGTCTAGGCTACTTCTTCAATCACGTTTTTTTCAGGTAGTCCAATAATTATTAAATTATCCTTGATCAATTTTTCAGGTCAGTTGTTTTTCCAATGAGATTATTTCATGTTTTCTTCTTTTTTTTTCATTCTTTTGACTTTGTCTTATTGTTCCTTTATGTCTCATGGAGTCATTAGTTTCTACTTGCCCAGTTCTAAATTTTAAGGAATTATTTTCTTCTATGAACTTTTATACATCTGTTTCCATTTGGCCAATTCTGCTTTTTAAGAAGTTCTTTTCATCAGTGAATTTTTGTGCCTCTTTTACTATTAGGTCAATTATATTTTTAAGGCATTATTTTCTCCAGTATTTTTTGTGTGCCTCTTTTACCAAGCTAGTCATTTTCTTTTCATAATTTTCTTGCATCACTCTCATTTCTTTTCACAATATTTCTTCTGCCATTCATCTTTTTCTTTAATTCTTCCAGGAATTCTTGTTAAGCTTGGGTCTAAGTAACACTTTTCTTTGAGGCTTTTGTTGTAGGTTTATTTAGCTAGTTATCTTCCTTTGGATTGTGTCTTGATCTTCTCTGCCACTGTAGTAGCTTTTATAGTCAAGTTCTTTGTTGTTGTTTGCTCATTTTGCCAGTCCATTTCTTGACTTTGAACTTTATGTTAAAGTTTGCCTCTGCTCACCTGGAAGTGGGGAGATACTTTCCCAAGATTCAGGCTTTTTCATGCTATTATTTTCAAAGCTAGGTCTGGGAGTCAGCAAGTTCTCAGTGCTTCCAAGGCTCTGTGAATCAGGCAGAGGTGTGGTTACTGCCCTCCTGCTCTGCACTTTGGTCTTTAACCTGGAAAGTCCCCTGATCCCCTGCAACCACAAGTACCAGAACTCCTTTTGGCCCTGGAACTGTGACCAGGTTCCTTGCTCCTTTAGCCACAAGCCCTAGCACTCTTCTTGGCCCTGGAATGTGACCAGAACCTTTATTCCCTTGTAATGGATCACAAGCACTCTTCTCTGCCCTGAAACTATGTATGGTCAATAGATCAGCACCAACCAGCACCAGCTGTACCCAATACCAGTAAAGGGTCCCCTGTAATCACTTTCTGTCTAATTTTCCAACTCCCTTACTTCTCTGGGCTGAGAGCACCCAAGGCTGCTGCCATTGTCATAGCCCACATGTTCTCTGGGCTGGCACCCACACCAGTGTCACAGACCTCTTTTACCTATCTCCTGAGTCATCTTATATTCAAAAAAAACCTCAATCCAACTTTTTTTGTTGTTGTTTTGGCTCTGCTGCTCCAAAATTTGATTTGAGGAGTTATTTTAAAGTTGTTTGGAGGGGACAGTTCAGTTGGGTTGCTGACTATACTGTGCTATCTTGGCTCTGTCTCCAGCCATAGTCAGTCTATATCTTGACCTAGATTAGGTTTTTGGTTTTTTTCTGCTTCTGGTATAAACCATTCAGGTACTATACAGCAAGTTAAACTCCTTTCCAGAAGGTGTATTCTGGAAATACCTTTCCAGAAAAGTATTCTACAACTCACTCTTGTTTCTCTACCAGACCTCTACTTTCTATAAGTTCTTCTAACTTCTCACAGTAGTTGCAGTATGTGCTAACCTCATCCTATTCTTCTCACTTCTTGCTTATACTGGGTAAATTGCACTCTGTAGTCTGACTGAATGGTCACCAGATATTGCAGTGATAGTGATGGTCTCATTATAAGAGGCAAATGATTGGTGGTACAGCATTCTTTAACTACTGAAGAAATCAATATCAGGTTCAGGGAATATTTTAAAACTTAAAATGTAAATTTTATTAAATTTATCAGCTTACAAGTAAATGTTTATCTAGTTCAATTGAGGGGATATAATGGACTTTGCCTGATGCTTCAGTACCCTACTAGATGACTAAGGAAATCTCTTGAACTTTTTTAAAAATCATAAGTCATACGATTTTTTTTTTTTTTGCAGAAAGAGCCCTTAGAGCTCCAACTTTTTTTTTGCCTGTTACTCCTGTCTCTCTTCTTTTCTACCTCCAATTTTCTCCTTCTACCTTCTCATTTCTCCCTCCTCATCTTATCTCTGTATCCCTCTTAATCCCTTTCCCTCTTTTTAACTCCACTTTCCACCTCTACCTCTCTAAATTCTGAATTGAAATAATACTCTCTTTGCTGGGAGTGTATAAGTGTAATTTGTCTTTGATACCTAGGAAAAGTCAACAAAGATACACACACACACACACACACACACACACACACACACACACACTACATTCTAATCACTCTCCTTTCTTCTTACTATATACCTTATAGACAAAGTGGCAAATGGGTATCATAAAAACATAGTTTCTCATTATCATGTATAGAAACTGGATAGGAGAAATTTTCTAATGTCTGCCTTTTACAATGCCTACATAGAACAGACTTCATGGAGGATTTAACTATCTTCCTTGTGTGATACTTCTAAATTAATTACTGGGGGAAGAGGGGGAACCTCAGGTGAATTATATCCGCCTACTGTATTTTATTTTGTCCACACCTGTAATTTCATGGGTGTGGGGAATGCCTGGGTCTAGAAATTCTGCCCATTTTATGCAAAGCTACAGTAATGGTTCCATAATTTAGCTTCTTAGAGAGTTAACTGGGGATTAAGCAACTTGTCGATGGTTATACAACTACTATGTGACAGAAATAGGACTTATGCCCAGATCTTAATAACTCTGGGGCCCAACATATATCATTTATACCACATAAATTTCATCTTATTTTTTAAAATAAAGGACCTCTACTTATTAAAGATGAGTTTTTAAAGTTTTAACATTGGTGGAAGAGCAAGGTTAGGGAAGTGATTTCTAAACTATTGATAATTTTCTTATAATTGCTGACAATTTGGGTCTAGATCAAAAGCATTGTTCACTTTGGTTTCCTTAATATTTCTAAACCAACAATGTGTATTCTTTCAAGTATGCCTTTGTCCCATAAAGAGTAATTCAATCCAAGAAGATCATGGTTTATAATCCCAAAGTGTTGGGTTTCTTCAGATGTCAGTTGAGTAATTTGGGGAAGCTAGAAAGGAAGAGTAGTGGATCTTTATTCTAATATCTACAGTGGTTTACTATCCTAAAATTTGTACAGTGGACTTTGTGAGGGTACTTTAATTCCACAGTCCAAGTTCAGTTTTGTTTTGTCTTGTTTTTACTGTATGACTTTTTTTTTAACCATCAGACCTAGGATGCTACTTTCTGATGGAACATTGTTTTACTTGATAAAATAATTTTTTAAAAAAATAATTTTAATATTTAAATAATTTAAATTTTAAAAATTAATAATTTTAATAATTATGTTTTTTACAGGGCTGGCAGGGGACTCTATGGTATTGACAGCATGCCTGACCTTCGCAGAAAAAAAACCTTGCCCATTGTACGAGATGTGGTAAGTAACTTTGGGATGATTATCTGATTGCGTATATTGTTTTCTACTTCATTTTTTAAAATTGCCTTTTGTATTAACTTCTTAGCCTACAATTGTCGCATGAATTAAAATATCTAAGATGTTGAATTCATCCAAATTAGCATATATATATATGTGTATATATATATATGCGTATATATACATGTGTATATATATGTAGATAGACAGACAGACAGACAGACAGAAAGATAGGTAGATAGATAGATAGATAGATAGATAGATGATAGATAGATAGATAGATAGATAGATAGATGATAGATAGATAGATAGATAGATGATAGATAGATAGATAGATAGATAGATAGATAGATAGATAGATAGATAGATGGATAGATAGATAGATAGATGTAAAATTTGTGAGGCAATTGGGGTTAAGTGATTTGCCCAGGGCCACACAGTTAGTAAGTGTTATGTGTCTAAGGCCAGATTTGAGCTCAGGTCCTTCTGACTCCAGGGCAGGTTCTCCATCTACTGAGCCACCTAGCTGCCTATGAATGCTATATTTATATTTTCTTCCTTCTCCTCAGTGAAGGTATTGCCTTCTATATTTTTAAATCTGGTAGTAATATAACTTTATGCCTGCTATTGATACAATTTGAAATTATGAATTGAGGCAAAATCACCCTACAGTTAAGTAAGAAAGCATCCAGCAGAGTGCCATATGAACCTTAGGTGAACAGCTGTATTTTGGCCCTTTTAAAATGGAATTGTTTGCATTAATGAAAAAAAAATGACTGAGTTTAATATGCCAAATTTAAAGACCAATTCAAGTTTTCAATTCACTCAGCATTCACTTATTACTATGGAACTAGGTAGTAGTAATTGAGGTAAAGAAATCAATTCAGGTAGGGCATATGAGAATTCTTACTCTTTGGTGAGCTCTGGTCTAAACAAAATTAACTAGAAATCGTCTTTTGCTGAAGAATATTAATTACCACTGAAAATTCCTGTGGTACTCTAGTCATTAAAATGCTCATTAGGCCATGCACATTATAGAGCTTCACAGTGATTAGCAATCCCCTACAATTTAGAATGAGATCTGAATAGTGGTAAAAGTAAACAGGATAGGAATCTTTAAAATGCCAGTTAAAACATATGCAATGAAAGTGTAGTAAAAGGAATCATCTTATTGTGTACTACTCACTTTGTGAGTAATATGCCTTCTACCCTATCCCTCTTTTTTCCCTTTCTCTCTCCTCTGCTCCCTCCCTCTCTCCCACTCTGTTTCCATCCATTGTGCTATTTACTCCTTATTGAACTTACCTTACCATCTTTGGAATATGATTAGATGTTAACCAATGAAATAGCATATAACTAAGGAAATAAATCAGCTTCAAAATCAGAATATAATATGTTTCAGATTCCACTAGAAATACACTATTTAAGATTATACAGTTTTCTCCTTCCAGAATATTTGAAATCTAAATTAAAATATAAGTTAATAATTTAGAAATTATTATGAAATTCTTTTAATGTCTGACAAAATCTTTTCACATTTTTTCCTAAGTATTTCTTAGTATTCCTTAGTATTTCCTAAGTATTGCCTAGAATGCACCATTTATTTCTGGTAATGCATAAAAACTTGCCATAAATATCAGTGATTTTTATTTCTAATGATAATCTATTCAAAAACTATCACTATAGTTATAAAGTACAAAAAAAATTAGTTCCAAATGCTTATATTACAAAAGAAGAGGTTGTATGTACATCTGAATGATTATCTCATTTCTAATGCAATGTGGAATTTTAAGAATGTTTTATGTTTATTTAACATCATTATACAGTTTTCTACTTTTAAATAGCTAATTATTCATACTCTGTTTCTTCCCACTGCTGGAATTTTTCAGGCCATGGTAAGTATTTTTTTAAATTCATTCAATTACTATATGTTGAGCTCCCAAGGGTATATTGCATTTAATTTATGAGGAGGGGAAACTGGATTGTTATATGAGGCAGAGCTAATCCAAGAATATATCACCTCATTCAACAACAACAAAATAAATAGATAAAGACTAAGTATACTTTTTGAGAAGGAGAAGGAAATGTCAAACTACTCCAGTATCTTTGCCAAGAAAAACCCAAATGGGGTTACAAAGAATTGGACTCAGCCAAAGGACAACTGATCAACAACTTAATTTTGTGACAAAGGACAAACAAAACAGTCCCTGCAAATTTGAGGGGAGATTTCTTCTCTTTAGAGATAGTAAATCAGGCTGTTAAAAACTTTGAAGGTAAGCTTGCCATGGTTTTTCTCAGGGAATGGTTCTCCTTTAGAAAACATAGCACAAAACTATGGAGCTCCAAAGGGGAATTATGCTTGCAGTAGAGTGGAGTTCAACTGGTGATTCTCCTGATTTCCCTGTGTTTAACTGAAAGCTACTTTTAAAGACTTACATAGTTGTCATTTTCTCAGTCATTAGAAAAACTTTGCATGCCTTATATGCCCCAAATCTTCATAAATATTAGGTATCTCATTTTGACAATCAGGCCAATTGAGTTGCATCCTCATAATGACAAATACAAAAATACATCCCTAGTATTTTGACACCCAATCTTGACTTCTCTCTCATTAAACCAGACTATTTTTGAGAAAGTAGCACAGCATTTTTCAGGCTGGATCTAAAAGACCATTTCAATGGGGTTATGAACGATTTTTTAAAATTAAGTCCTAAATCAATGTTCCAGATCCATCATGTATTAACATCTGCTTAGTTTACAACAACTTCATATGATAAATCAAGTTTTACTTAAGAAACTGATTGTGTTTACTTAAGAGATTCTTTTAAAAAAAACTATAAATACTATTAGACTGTGGTTAAACTTTAGACAAGTCAGTTAATAGTATTTATACCTTACTTATTCTATGGCAATGCTCTATACCTATATATGGAACATTATACCCTTCCAACTAAGTTCAATTCCATTATGTCATTTGTTCCTCAGCCCTTAAGCAAGACTGGGATTTTTATCTCTATTTTACAGGAAAGGAAACTGATGCTTATATTGGTAAAGTGGTTTTGTCCAAGGCTACATTACTAGTAAGAGTTAGAAGGGAAACTCAAGTCTTTTGACTACTTCTTTAATAACGTAGACCCTAGTGCCCTCATCTGGAAACTTTTAGGAAATGGTCTAGATTGGGATAATGAAGTGGCACAGTGGACAGAGTGGCTTGGAGTCAGGAAGACTCATCTCTCCAAGTTCAAATCTGACCCCAGACACTTAGTAGCTGTGTGACCCTGAGCAAGTCACTTCACCCTGTTTGCCTCGTGTCTTCATCTATAAAATAAGCTGGAGAAGGAAATGGCAAACCTCTAGTATCTTTGCCAAGAAAATCCCAATTGCGGTCTTTATATGAACATGCCAAAGTAAATAAATGGTACTCTGCCTAATGCTACCAAAGGAAAGAGAAATTAAGATGTCACATGTTAGGTGTCAGGCAGGAACGGTTAATATTTTGTTGTTCGTATTTTTATTGGCATTTCTTGCTCTATTTATTAGTAATGGTTTTATGATATTTGCCTTAGACATTAGCTGCCCGAAAATCTGGAATCTCCCTGGCCATGGTTATTCGGACATCTCTGAACAATGAGGAATTGGTAAGTGTTATCTAATGTAAAAATGAAGTATGTTATCAAAGGGCTTACTAATGGGGAGGGAGTAGAGCAGAGCTCCGCAGAAAGTTTATCTCCTTAAGTTTTGGTGATGTTCTCTGATGTATAACTGAGATGAAAAATAAACAAGTCTTCACTGGGGCATTTTTCCTGAGATAAATTATGTGCAACACACAATATGAAAAAGATGTAGGTAAATAGCAGAGAGAATGAAGGGAAAATCTGTCCCCATATCTCATTATTCCCTCAACTTTCTAGTGCAGTAACTTTCAGACACTGTCCCTACATGTACTAATGGCTATAAAGATTTTCATGACAAGTCATGACAGACCCTTCCCACATAAAGCTCTCAGCATGGAGTGTGGCTGGCATCACTCTCTCTATCTTCTCAGATCAGGATATCGTTTTGGATAATCACAAGCTATCAGCAACACCCAGTCTGATAACTTCTCTCTCTCTCTCTCTTTTTATTGTCACAGATAAGCATTTGCTTTTCAGATAACCCATGTTGCATCCTATACAACCTCAAGCCCTGCCCCTCTCCCAACTCACCTTCTCTCTGTCTCAGTTTCTGTCTCTCACTGTCTTTTTCTCTGTCTGTTTCTCTCTGACTCTGTCTGTCTGCTGTTCTGTCTGCCATTCTGTCTGTCTCATTGGACATGGGAACATAGATACCTTTATCCCTTTTAGTGGTTACAACCATTGGGGGGCCGGGACATAGAAGGGCGGATCTAGATTTGTCATTTCATTTATGCAGGGAATTCTGGGTTAAAGAATCCCTTTATTAAGGAAGATAAGAAGCTCTTCTCTAACGTGGTTTAAGAAAGTTTTCTAGGGCTGTGAGATTATAAGGGATAGAAGTCAGATCTTTCGAACTGTAAGTTTGGTCCTCTTATCTGTTGAATATAATAATAATAATTTTAAATTTTATATTATTATTTAATAATATTCTATCATACATGATAATTATTAGAGCTATATTATATATCACTATATATTTGAGCTTTACTAATTATCATACTAAATTATTTATTATTTATTATAAATTATAAACACATTCATTTATTTATATTGTTAATTATATTTAATATATTAAAATAAATATTGTTTATTGTAAATTATAAATATAATTAATGTTATTTATTAAAATTTTTAAATATAAATTATTATACTACATTATACAAAATATTACTAATTACTAATTATTAGAGCTATACTACATTTATATATTATATAGTACTTCAAGGTGCATAAAGAAGCACTTTACTTACATTATCAAATTTGATCCTCATAACCACGATGTGACATAGGTGCTATTATTATCCCCATTTTCACAGATGTGTAAACTGAGGCTAGAAGAGGTCAAGTGACTTTCTTAGAGTCATGCAGCTATTGTCTATGAAAGAATTTGAGCTCCAGTCTTCTTGTATCTGTTCGCTTTATCAACTACTTAATTGCTCTCCACAACAAATTTAGGCATTGACCAGTAGGCATTGTTTGCCCAGGGAGCTGGAGTATAGGCAGCATAGATGACTAGGAGTATTCTCCAAGGAGACTGGAATGGAAGTGTGAAGACTATTTGTGTCCAAGGACTGAGGTAGAGTTGGAGGCTGGGGCAGGCAGAGAGAGAAGGCTTTGGTTCATGAATATATGAGTGCTTTCTGATGTTTCTGTTATTCTTCCCCAGGATGAGGGGATAGGAGACTTCCCCATTCCTCCCAAGTGCTACATCATCAATTGTACCTTGAAAGAAAGTAAAACAAGGATGCCCTTCACCTGGGTTTGGGGGAACTCCTTTTCATTGTCTTTGGAAATATGGAGTTTGATTTTTACCCTAGACATGCAATCTTACGAAGGCTAAGAAAAAGGAAATGAAAATGCAAAGACTATTAAATTTCAGCTTCGACTTTTTCTAATTTCATGGGATTTTATTCATTTATTTTTTGTTACAGCATATACTGAGCTATGTTTTAGCCTAGAAATGACCACTCAGCTTTGTGATGCGGCTTCTGGTTTGTGGCGTGGTAGAGGTGAGGTCAGAGTCCACAGAGAACCCTTTCAAAACCTCAGATGCCCATTTCCAAAGGGCACATGTCTGGCAATGTAAATGAAATGTGACTTCTGTAGCACAGCCCCATTTCAGTGTCAGACTCTACAAGCTGTCACATTCAGTTGTTATGTGAAAACCAATGATAAATGTTAAATAGAATAAAATCAGTTCTTCAATGTCAGAACTCTTCACTGGCATCCTCAGGGTAAAAGGAACTGGCTGAAAGTATTTGCTCTTATATTAATGATAAAGGGCTGACCAGGTGAAAAAATAGCAAGAGGTTGATTTTCTATTTTCATAAAAGCAAAGTGCAGTAAAAAAAAATGTTATTCCTCCTAAGGAAATTGAAGATTTCAATGATTGATCCAAAATGATGTTTCATATTTTGGGGCCATCTTCTTCATTAAAATTGTGCCAGGAATGAAAAAAATAAAGCCAAGTGCTTCATTTCACCAATTCCTCCCCTTTATGAGTAAAAAGATTAATTTAAGTTTGGGAGAAGTAAATGAATTGTATTCTCCAAAGATGCTCTGGACTAAATTTTAATGTTAAAATAATATACAGAGGGTTGATTTTTTTTTCTCACTTAGCTAGTAAGGGAGACCAATTCATATAGTGGTTGGAGAGCCAGCTTCAGAGACAGAAAGAGCAGGGTTTAAGTTCTGACTGACACATTCTAGCTGTATGACTCCAAACAAGTCATTTAACCTCCAGACTGCCTTCTTAAAGTCTAAGTTACAAAGGAGTTAGCAATCTAATTTAGTGGAAAGAGCTTCTACTTGGAGTTCCTTACGTTAATAATATTCACAGATCTGAACATCAATAACAGAATATATGAGGAAGAATTGGTAGGGAGAGTAAAATTTTATTTTTCATAGACATTCTTTTCTTATGTTATTTTTGACATTATCTTCTGTGAAAAACATTAATTTTTTAAAAAGTTTTTTGAGTTTCAATTCTCCCTTTCCCTACAGCCCCTCTCCCATCCATTGAGAAGGCAAGCAATATGATACCATTATATCTGTGAAGTCATGCAAACTATATTTCCGTATTAGTGGCATTATTTAACTTTCAATTTAGACATCACTACTTATAGCTGTTTTCTGTGTCTGAATAGGTAGCTGTCATCATTCCTGCATTATAAGGCTGGTAACTTTTTTTGTTCACATTTTCAATAGAAAGCATTTGAAAGACGTGCTTGAATTCAGCTCAGTCAATAAGAATTTGTTAAATGCTTATTATGTGCTAGGCACTGGGCTAAGCAGTACAGATGCAAAGAAAGGCAAAAAGCACAGTTCCTGCCCTCAGTGAGCTTATATTCCCCAGCTCCCCCTCCACCCCCACTTCTGTCCTCCCAGCCCCATGACTGGGACTGTAAAGAGTGGGATTTGAACCCTGGTGCAGGGTGTCAGGTTCTCAGAGGAAGGGCAGAAACAAGGACCTTCTGTGGGTTTGATGTTCTATATCCATGTGAACCACAAATCACCCTGTGCCTCAGCCAATCACAGAGCCCCTGGTGACTCTTATGGCTAGGCACAAAATCCCTTTCCTATGATACTAAAATCGGGTATTATTAGTAGGAGTAGAGTGTCAGCAGCTGCCTGGTGAGAAGTTCTAATCATAAATGCTGCTGGCTTTATTCCTCTATTACTACTAGCTACACTTGTTTCATAACTATGCATCTGGGTTATGTAGAGATAAGTTATATTTCCTATGCTGTGTCCTTGGGGAAAAGGAAATAGAATCTCTCCCCACCATTCCTAACCTCTCTATTTCCTTTACACTTGTGTGTGTGTGTGTGTGTGTGTGTGTGTGTGTGTGTGTATACACCATTATCCCTTCCTCATTGCAACTTTCCCCATTACAATTTCAATATATTGTAGGTTGGCATAAGAAATTAAATGGGAATTTTGGGAGAGTTTTGTGGAAGCCTCAGATGACACACAAAGCAGATGACATAAAAAGGTTTAGAAACTCAGAAATGCATAAAATGTATATAAAATATTGTATAATATCAACATATTTTATTTTAAATATCATAATTCAGACTTCTTCTCTGGTATGAAAGGAAGGCCAAAAATTATATGTGGATTTTCCAGATTATGGGGGCAGGGGTAACTGTAGACACACACACACACACACACACACACACACACATACGCATGTGCGCCTGTGCGTGTATATGGGGCGGTGTAGGTGTGGGTGTGTAGTAGCCCAGGCTATGGGAATACAAAAATGAATTCATATCATTTAAAATGAATATAATTTGCTCCAGTGGAGTAGACATCCAAAAACATAATCGAGTATAATCTAAGCTCTGAATATGCATATATTTTCTTCAAAAGTTTGAATTTGAAGAGGAAAAAAAAACCACCACAGTGAAGTCTTTGGGGACATATCAGACATTTTAGGAAATCCATTTCCAAATCATGCTTCTGACCATGACTGAAGATAGTTGTCAGTGGCTAGTATATAAGAGATGATTATTAAATGCTTGTTGATTAGTTGATTGAATAATGAAGACCACCAGACACTCGTAGCCCACTGTGATTGTACTTGTAAGACTGAATCAGAGGATCAGCTACCTTACCTTTCATCCTGCCTTACAAATCTCATACCCCCACGTTATTAGTATTTTTTTTTAGTAATTTTGGCTATTAGTCACTCTAGAACATTGCTGGGAAAGCATTCGTTTTTGTCTGAGATGGATAGGGATATAGCTTTTAGAGTCACTCTTTGCATTAACTGCTTCAAAAAGTGTAGCTGAAAGTGTTTTAGACATTGCCCTTAAATCAACACAGTGATATGTTGACTTAATGGCTTCTTTTATGAAACTAACTCTGAAATACTACCTATTTTGACACTCTGAAATTCACTTTTTTTCCCTGGATTTGATCTTTATAACTTAATTTAAAGGTCACATTGTACATAGCCT